CAAACCTGCGGGCATGCGTGCCACATCAAAGTTTAATAACTATACTGTCTCTATTGGGGGAAAAGAACACAATGGATCTAGAGTCCAGAGTCTTAAAAACATCAACAAGAAAAGGTACTCTTGATTCAATCAGAATCTAGCTTAAATCAAGAACCAAGCATCTTAATTTAAGCGGATTTCGTTTTGATTCAAGCAAAAATCCGATTGGATCAAGAGTATTTTTTCTTGTCAATGTTTTCAAGAGTCTGGACTCTAGATCCAATGTATTTTTTTTTTTATAGTGTCCGATTCTGCCGTGCTGAGGAAGAACGCCAATGAACCTCCAAACGTTGCTTAATTTCCTTCAATAAAACCTTAATTTACTTGGAAAATCGTGAATTTCTCGTTTGAAATGTCTGAAAATTTCAAGGAAAAATACGTATGATCATTCTCAAAAATACATGTTATATCCGGGGCAATTTGGCAACTCTTGATGTTCATACGGCGTTTCTCCATAGCACGGCAGGATTGGTGTAGTAAATTTTAAGGCGAATTTTTGCTCACCATCTTGCAAACCGGAAAGGAAGGAGCNGGGGGGGGGGGGGGGGAATTCAGTTGTTTTACACTGTGTTTTGAGGTTTCAGCCAACCGTACGAGCTTTCCCCTCCTCTCCTCTTTCCCCACCTTATTACTGAAATGTTACGTTGTTAATTTTCATAAAATTGGGTCGCTGAAAGCTTCTATCGTAAATGCTGAGCAGTGGGAGTCTCCACGGATAAAGTGATGCAGCAAAGCCCGTCTACAAGAGTGTATAAAACAGCGAGGTAATTTGAATGGAGTGAAGATGGAGCTCTGCCTAAAATCAACGCAAATCAAATCCTGTAGGTGAAAAAACATTATCTGACTTGCGTTAGACTGGTATTGGAAAAAATTTTTAATTTTAATTATGGCTCAAAAACACGGCAACAACACACCAGCTCACCTGGCCCAAAAGTTAGCCTGTTCAAAAAATACCGGCTCCTACACGATTATGTGTCTAAGAGGCTTGAGGGTTATGTTTTCTTCAGTATCAACAAAATGCGAGCTCGATCCTGAAGTGGATTACATTTTGCAATAAGGAACCACCATTTCTGGCCCATTTCAAAAACAACACACATGCCAACGGTTTCCCCACGCAGATATGTGATTTGATGGGAGAGCCAGAGATAGTGGTTCCTTATTGTAAAATGTAATCCAAGTGTCACTTATTTATTGAAGCATAAAAGGAATAGATTCTACTTAATTTTATTATCGTCCTGCTAAACGATGAATAGAATCGCGGATCTCTCGATGGAAGTGCAATTCGCACTTGGAGATTTACGTGATTCTTGGACGGAACCTGGGCCAGTGAACGTGGAGTCTACATATCAATCTACAGAATATCGATCAAGACATAAATTAAAAAAAGACCCATTGGGCCATGAAGACTAATTCGAATTTTCTTTTCGATCTAACGAACGTAGTGGGAGGATGGCCAGACGAGATAATTTTAATATGATAAAATAATTAAAAATTTTAAGGGAGAAACTGGCTCGAGGGGTTAAACGAACGTTCGTCCTCCAGCGGCGGAAGGAGTGGGATTAATTACTTCATCAAGGCTTTCCGCATTGACCTGAAATAAAATCGGAAGAGAATCAGCGCCAGTGCGTTATTGACACGGCGCACGAGAGCGAGATAAAATTGAATTGGTAGCTCAAATGAAATGTGAACAGATACAGATGAAAAGTGTAAACCGCACACATGGGAGCCTCCGCTGCTATCATCGACTCACTCCACTCAAGCTTTAAAACAATCAAACCCCTCCCTCCCCGCCCGCCGCCCTGCGGGGTAAATAATCCCTATAATATCATCGCTTTCTTTTTGCAGATATTGGATAACGCGCAATGACTTTTACTTTTTCCCTTTACCCTTGATTGACTTTCATCACTCTTCACTCGAGCCGCTGCGAAAGGAATGTATCGGTTTACAAATTCCGTCAGATGGCGGTGGTGAGGGGTTGAGAGATTTTCGATTGCTTTTCGTTTTTCCTTCTTCGTTCGTAAGACTCATGCCGAGAATAAAAATCAAAAACCCCGCGATGTTACGTTTAACCGCGATAAACCACTAGACAAGGTCTGAAACAGAAAGAAACGTCACACATTTTCTCTTCAAAACCTGGCAAATAGAACAATTCACACAACGGGGAGTTTCGAAATCAAGTCCTGCATGAGACATTGACAAGTCTTTTCGACATAAATCAAGTGGAAATTCGGTTATACGTCATCTGTATTTTTGCCGTTTAACCAGTCTTAATAAAAAAATACTTATATCTCATTTGAGACTTGATTTTTAGACTTCCCGTTGTGTGATTCGTTTTCCTTGTGAAATTTTGACGAGAAAGCACGGAGCGTTGCGCTGCATAGCACAACGCTACCCTTCAGTTCCTATGAAGTTGCGGGTGTGAAAAATTTTAGAAGTGAACCAAGAATTTTTTGAGGGTAAAAATCTAGTAAAACTATACAGCAAAACTAATGTACTGTCTAGTAAAACTATAACTACACCTGACCTGAGTCCGAACCCATGAGTTTGACTATACGGGCATGCTGCTGCCATTCATGTTCTTTTCGGAGCATTAGGCAAAGGTGTTTCAGGTGCAGACACAAAGAGAAACATAATGCGAGTCCATGCTACTGCTGTTGAAAGGAAAGTCAAGCGACACGCGCTGACATCTCATTCCCATGCTCATATATCTGGCAGGTGTGTGATACCTTTGGTTCGACTTTGAAGATTTAGATATGCTGCCTATGGTTTTATATACGTTGGTTGCGTTTGTAGATCGATTTGTAAAAAGGGGTGGGAGAACCAGTGGCGTAACGGACTTCCGCTGGGCCCCCCCCCCCCCCCATTTTTTCTAGGCCCCCCCATGTCGATAAAATTCCAAAATTATCCCCCCTCCTACCCCTTCCCATTTTTTGGCCCGAGGCATCTAAAATCACGGACTTCGACTTGGAATGCCTCACCCCTCACCGTCCCAGATCCCGTACCCGATTATACGGGACCCCTAAAGGATCAAGGATCTAAAGGGTGGCGGGGGCCCAGCCCAGACCCAAGGAGCCTTGAGGGCCCTTTAGATTATTGGATCTCCCAAAGCCCGAAATACGAAAAGTGACAAAAAAAGAAAAAACAAATTAGTTATCACTGAGTGGACATTGGAAGGCAAGGGCCCTCCAGCAAACAAGAAGTTCGGAACAGTCCGAGAGAAGTATGAAAAACCCCGAGCTAACAATAAAAATCAAAGGAAAAAGCCCCATCTCGGTAAGTAAAAGGCCCGAAGTTTGAAACCAAAGTTAATCATCAAAGAGACAGAGAGAAAAAAAATTTCCAGCGGCCGAGGGCCCCCTTGGCGCCTGGGCCCCCCTGCATAGCAGGGTCTGCGGGGGCGCCCGTTACGCCACTGGGGAGAACTCCTGAACTCAGCTCTCACTAAAGCGAGGGCAGGTGTACCTAGAGTTGTATAAAAGAATTTCACTATACTGATTGAACTTGGAACATTGTCAAATTGATATTATCTACTGAAGGAAGGATAAGCGACAAGATTTCAGCACACGCTACTAGGTCTCTTCTCTCCGTGTCTGTGCAGTCGGCGCTAAATCTGTCAGCGCCGCCTACATGATTATGGAACTGATAAAACTGATCTTCAAGAACACAGCGAAGCGCCTTCAATTTCGCTTGATACCCTAAGCATCACCGCAAAGTTAGTTTAGTTGCTTAACCCAACCGAACCTAACTTAGGGTCTGATATTCAGCAACACCCGCTCTGGCGCGCTGCGGAAGAACTCCGTATGAGCATTCGGATGTTGCCAAACTCCCTTTAGAAAAAATTTTCATTTTAGCAGAAAGTTATGAATATTATTTCTTGAAATTGTCAAATCATGGATCAAAATACGGACAAAATCATCTGAAAAATCGGAGGAGAAATGTTCACAAGTTTACCAGAAAATTCGTGATTTGACGAAGGAAATTGGGCAACGCCTGAGGATTAATACGGTGTTCTTTCTTAGCATGGCAGCGCTGTTTGTGGCCTTAAAAAGGATGAAAACCAGACGGCAAAACTGCTGTTATGTCTCGTTGACACATTTTAACTGCCACACGTGATGATAATATCCTTTATCAGATAACAGAAAGGGTATTGACACATACGCCGCATTGTAACAAAAAAAACATGTTTGTCATTGGTTTAAATAAGTTACCCGATGAAGTTAAAAAATTTATATCGAAACGAATGAAGTTTTATCAGATTAATCGTAAGGGAAATCACTTTAAAAACGAATATTAAGACTCACAGCTACAACGGGCCTGTTGCAAACTTCCGCTGGAGCGAAAATAAGGGTAGTTTCCTATGGAAATATCTCAAAAATCACGATAAAAGCATCGGGAAATTCTGAAATGCATTCCTAACTTCTCAACCTGCGAAAGAAATTAGCGTCCTTTTGAGCTTCCCGCTTCAAAAACGATACCTCGGCACAGGTGAACATTTCGTTAGAGGAGTCGTTCCATTCAACCCTTTCGCCATAGCAATACCCAGCATAGCCAACGCTTCCGCGCGCAAATCGCGATCGGGAGCACAAGGTCAACCAAAGCGGATCTTTATCAACACAAAGAAATCGCGAATGTAAACACGCTGGGTTCGAATCACGTCACGACACATGTGTTTCGGCGGATAGGCGTCGGACACGTTGAATATTGTGTACTATCTTAGTGCACAGGGGTTTGATAGAACATCTCCTCTAACGAAATGTTCATTTGTGCCGTAGAATCCTTTTTGAAGCGGGAAGCTCGAAATTTCTTACGCAGATTGCAAAGTTAGGAGTGCACTTTGTTCCCGCCATTAAGACTTATCAGCTGGGACGGCCTGGGCCACGGTGGAAGGGGTTACCATGGAACTGGAAGTTTTTGAGTTTTGGTCTTAACTTTCTCAGTCAGAGAAAAAAAGTTGTAGAAGAAAAAGTTTGGTTTTCTGTCGATCCTGTCTTTATCCCTGTCTTTATCGCTGTCTTTATCCCTGTCTTTATAAAGCCTTTATCCCTTCTACAAAGTGAGTTATTCTTGATATTATTCATGGTCCCTCGGGCCGGATATATAAAACTTCTGAAAAACTTAGAAACGTTGTAGCAGCCACCCAGGTCCTAACCTCCAAGCTCTCGTCCCAACAAGTTACAAACAGAAGTCCTAATTTGACCCAGTCCTGCAGAGACGCAGCCACCCAGCCCCAGTGCTCCATCCAACGATCCTGAGAGAATCCTGTATCGTTCCATCCATTTTTCCTGGTGAATTCTATCCATTCTCCCTTCCTCCCTTTCCGTGTTTTTTCCTAACCTCGAAAAAATAACCTCAATTGCTAATCCATCATTTCAATGGAAAATTATAAGAATTTTTCATTCTATTCACCCTTAAAAGCTTAGAAAAGCTTAATACAGCTGTTTACTTTTCATATTCAATTCAAAAATAACCTATATCGAATCTTCGCATAATTGGGTCAATTCACAATATCAGCTGTTTTAGAAAACAGGTTGTGAAACTGTATAACTTATAAAAAAAAAAAAATTCTTTTTCGAGGTTAGAAAAATTTGTCCATGTTGCCTTCTTCTCCAGCATCTAATGTTAGTTTAACCCCAAGTGAACAGTTACTGATGGACCACAATTACGATAATGGTCTGCGGGAACAATTGAACCGAGTCTTACGTCAGGGTGTAACGGGTGGGGGAAACGATGATGAGGTTAATCGAAATGCCGTATTGAATTCCTTGTCAAATCCGACAACATCACTAAATCAAAATGTAAACAATGGAAACGTCAATGAGAGTGATTATCATACAGCGACTTTAACGTCGCACACATTTCAGCAAAGAGTTTCCGCGCCTCCTTCTCGTCCCCCCTCGGTACATTCGCGGGATTCAAATGATGTTGAAATCAAACTTATACGCCAGAGGAATTTGATCATGAGCGAAGTTAGAACCATTTTGTGGAAGTTAACCGAAATAACTCCGGAAAACATTGATAGTTTTTCATTTTTCATGGAAAGGCTGGAAAAACTCCAGGATGGTTTTGACAGAACTCAGGGTGAAATTCTCTCCACCGATGTGTCAGAGGAGAGTGTGATTAACGCTCAAATGGAATTTTTAGAAATGGTGATGAAAGCTCAATCACTATATCAACATGCCAAAAAATCTTCGAAGGATTCTAATCCGAATTCTACCACATGCTCTAATAATACAAGGTCTCAAGTGAGGCTCCCTAAAATCGTGCTGCCGCGGTTTGATGGTAAAAAATTGTCAGATTGGTCAATTTTCCATAACTTGTTTGAGGTTACAATTCATAAATCTTCCACGCTTAGCAACATTGAAAAGTTCCAATATTTGCTCGCCCAACTGGAAGGCGAACCACTCAATTTAGTTAAAAATTTAGAATTTACTTCTGAAAATTATTTAGTTGCCTGGGATTTATTGGTAGATTATTATCATAATGAGAGACGACAAATAACTTATTACCTTTCAAATTTACTTGATCTCCAAGAGTTAACGGCGTCTAATTTATCTCATTTCTACACCAAAATAAAAGAGAATATGCAAGCGTTGGAGGGTTTAGGGTTGAAACCTGAAACTTATTGTTCATTATTGGTTTTGGTTTTATTACGAAAATTTAATAATTTTCATAAACGACGATTTGAGGATTCTCGGGATGAAAAAACTAAAATGCCAACTGTTGACGAAATTTGCAAATATCTACAAGACGAAATTGCACAAATGTCAGATGGCGAGTCTAATAAATTTCGTTCAAACCAAAAATGCCCAAAACTCTCATCTGCTCCTCCAGTGAGAGCTTTGCAGGTGGGAAAGGGTTCATCATCTCCCTCCCCCCCTCAGTCGGAGGGTAAACAGGGAAACTCTGGGGGAACTACAAAATTACCCCCACCATATTTGCGATGCAAGCTTTGTCCCAAAAGCTCTCATACTCTAGCTCAATGCGAAAAGTTTAAAAATATAACTGCACAGGATCGGCGTGATATTGTGACACAAAATCATCTATGTTATAATTGTTTGAGTACATCTCATGGGGTTAAGGATTGTGAGAGTAAAAAACGATGTCAATCATGTTCGAAAAAACATCATTCTATGCTGCATCTTTCAACTGCAACTGCATTACCCACCCAGATGTATCAACATGAATCGACTCCACAACCTTCCACATCAGCCACCAATGGTTCTGATCAGACGATCCAACCTCAGGGTCAGCGTACCCTCCTTACTGAGAGTCGAAATATGACGTCAGTGTTGCCAACAATAACTGTTTTGTTGACGGCAAAAAATGGCCGCACATTGGTTGCAAAGGCCATCCTAGATAGCGCGGCTGATACGGGCGTTATCAGATCAGAGTGTTGTTCTCTTCTTAGAATTAAACCTAGCCACACTGAAATGAATCTTTCAGGCCTATCTGAAAATCAGGTTGAGTCTAAAGGCATGGCTGAAATCAGCATTTCAACGCCTGATGGACGGTTAGTGGCTCCAAACTATCCTATGATAGTCGTCAAGAAGATAACTGGTCTTCTTCCACCAGTCCCATTAGATAAGGATTTGAGGAAAATTCTGGGACAATACCCATTAGCTGACAAACATTTTGATGTTCCGAGCAAACCTGATCTCATTTTAGCTGTTGACCTCTATGCATTGATTGTCAACGGTCCCCCTCTCCCTCTGGGACCCTCTTTGCCATCAGTAATGTCCACGGTTTTTGGTTATGTTGTTTTGGGAAAAACGTTTTCGACGTTGTCATCGTCTATGGCAAAACCTCCCCTCCCCTCGTCACAACACTCATCGGTAGTGCTCCTCCGCTCTACTCCGGTACGTTCGGCAAGGGTTCTTCTAACTTGCAACTGTTCTAGTGGATTGTATTCAAAAGTAGAGCAGTTTTGGGCATTGGAGGAACCAACCCCTTCGAACGGTTTGAAACCGGAGGAAGAATATGCGGAACGGTTGTACACGGAAACTACGGTGCAACTCCCAAGTAAAAAATATCAAGTAGACTTGCCATTTCGTCAAAATTCTGGGAATTTGGGCGAGTCGTACTCCATCGCGGTTAAAAGGTTTCATCAATTGGAATCGAAATTTCGTAGAAATCCAATCTTAAAGGAAAAATATGTTCAATATATGAAGGATTATGAACAGAACGGTTTTATGCGGGAAGTTCCCCGCCCTCCTGAGGGAACGCCTCATTATTATATGAGCCACCATGGAGTTATAAACGAGTCGTCAAGTAGCACAAAACTTCGAACAGTTTACGACGCAAGTATGAAAACTTCTAATGGAAAATCTTTAAATGATCTATTATTACCTGGGCCTTCATTGTTAGAGGACATTCCTATGCTTTTGTTGAGTTTTCGGCGTTTTCCCACGGTGTTCTCAGGGGACATTAAACAAATGTACCTTCAAATCGAATTAAATCCTAAACATCATCTATTCCAACTAATTGTTTGGAGGCCTGAACCTTATATGCAACTAAAAACTTATGCTTTAGTAACAGTATGTTTTGGGGTAAATTGTTCACCGTTCTTAGCCATACGCACAATAAAACAGATCATAAAGGATCATGGTCATAAATATCCTAGGGCAGCAAAAGCGCTAGCGGACGCGCTTTACATGGATGATTTGGTGTATGGTGATAAAACGGATGAGGATACCAAAACTTTGTTAAAAGAAGTAATCCTTCTTTTGGCTGAAGGGGGTTTTTTCATGAGAAAATGGACTTCCAATAAATCAGCCATTTTGGCAAATTTTCCTTCAGAAGATTTGGAGGTTCCGAAAAGTGGATTTGACGACCCGGTCTTCAAAATATTAGGGGCATTTTGGGCTTGTGAGAAAGACATTTTCTCTTACAAAATAAAACGAGCAGAGTCCGTTAATACAAAAAGAGGCCTTTTATCATTAATCAGTTCGATTTTTGATCCGTTAGGATTTCTAACACCTGTCATTTTTAAGGCAAAAGCCTTCATGCAGGAACTTTGGTTGATTAGTTTGGGATGGGATGACCCACTCCCCCAGGAACTAATACATCGTTGGGAAAAGTTCGCAGATGAATTGCAATTGTTATCTTCTATAGAGATCCCACGATATATAGAGACCGAAGATAGGCAAGTACAATGTCATATGTTTTGCGATGCAAGTGAGCTGGGAATAGCATGCCTGATTTATCTGCGATCTTTCCACCCTTCCACGGATGAATATGCAAAAATAACCCTCATTGTTGGGAAATCGCGTGTTGCGCCTCTAAAAAAGGTCTCATTACCACGACTTGAATTATGTGCAGCAGCACTGGGTATAAAAGTATTGAAAACATATCTGCCAAAAATAATGGAATATTTTAGTGTAAAAAGAGTCTTCGCTTGGTCAGATTCTACGATAACTTTGGCCTGGATTCAAACTCCTTCATACAAACTAAAAACTTTTGTAGCAAATAGAGTAGCGCTAATCCAAAATTTAACAGAAACAGTGAGATGGGGTCATGTTGAAGGCCGCTTGAATCCGGCAGATGTCGCGTCAAGAGGAATAATGCCTAGTGAATTGAAAAATCACCCTCTGTATTGGAATGGTCCACCTTGGTTAAAAGAAAAGGAAGAACTTTGGCCAGAGCAGTTACGAATAGTTCCATCCGATGGAAAATTACCAGAGTTAAAAAAGTTTAACACGGTATTAATAACAGCTCAAGAAGAAAAGATAGAAATTAAATTTCCACAATCTTCTTCATGGAATAAGGTAGTGAGAGCAATTGCTTATGTTTTACGTTTCTTAATACGTCATGACCGTGTCATTAAAAAAGGACCCATTACAGTGGAGGAATTTCTAGTCGCTGAAAATAAAACTCTATTCTTGATTCAGAAAGAGAGTTTTGGGGGGGACATCGCCCGCCTAAAACGAGGTGAAAAATTAACAAATAAATCTAAACCACTCAAACGATTGGCACCATATATTGGCGTGGATGGTTTAATTCATGCTCAGGGTCGATTAACGCATGCCCCTCTCCCAGAATCAGCGCGGTATCCGATAATACTACCATCAAAACACCGCTTAGTGCGCCTTCTGGTTGAAAAATACCATAAGGACAACATGCACGCTCCTCCGCAACTCCTGCAATCTCTGTTACGTCAGAGATTCTGGATAATGGCATCAAGAGGATTGACTCGATCAGTGTTTCAGTCATGTATTTATTGCTTTAAGGTACAACCTAGAAACAAAATTCCTTTAATGGGTGATTTACCAGCTGAAAGAGTTCAGCAGAGTCCCCCATTCCACAGAACGGCATTGGACTTTTGTGGCCATTTCAATGTAAAATTGCATCAGCTTCGGTATGCGATTATTTCTCCAGTCTATGTTTGTGTCTTTGTGTGCATGAGCACCAAGGCAATTCATCTAGAAATGGCCTCAAAATTGAGTACCGATGCGTTCGTCGCTGCGTTACAGCGCTTCGTCAGTAGACGAGGCAAACCGGCATATATTTATTGTGATAATGCTAGCAATTTCCAGGGAGCGGCAAATAGATTTTTAAAATTAATTACGTCAGAGGACCCAAATTTAATATTGTTTTCTCACAATAACAGAGTGGAATTTCGCTTCAATGTACCATTAGGGCCCCATTTGGGGGGTCTGTACGAAGCTGCAGTGAAAAGTTTTAAACTACACCTGAAACGGGTGATAGGTGATAGTGTATTAACTCAAGAGGAGTTTCAAACATTGACAGCCCGTATTGAGGCTATTTTAAATTCGCGTCCTCTCACTCCACTCTCCTCTGACCCACGTGATTATCAGGTTCTCACCCCTGGCCATTTCTTAATTGGTCGGCCATTAGTAGCGTTACCAGAAAGGCAATATGACACGGAAAGTCCACCATTTCTGCATAGGTGGAATTTGGTGGAGTTGTATGCCCAACAATTTTGGCAACGTTGGCACCTTGAGTACCTTCATACACTCCAACCACGAGGGAAGTGGTTGGAACAAGCCGGGAATCTGGAGGAGGGAACATTGGTTCTTCTCCATGATCCTCAAAGCCCCCCCTTAAAATGGACTCGAGGCCGAGTCTTACGTACATTTCCAGGGAAAGATAACAACACAAGAGTAGTAGAAGTCAAAACTCCCAACGGAGTGTACAAAAGACCGGTGGTAAAATTATATGCTCTGCCATTGGGTAGTTCTCAATAGCGAATTTAACCTTCTCGTAACAAATGAAATCTACTCTATGTTCAAGATGAGCAATAACGAGAAGTCTGTATCTACTCACCCATCTCCCACATCGACCAGTGTGTCTTCCCTCCCCTCCGCTCCATCGACCAGTGTGTCTTCCCTCCCCTCCGCTCCATCGACCAGTGTGTCTTCCCTCCCCTCCGCTCCATCGACCAGTGTGTCTTCCCTCCCCTCCGCTCCATCGACCAGTGTGTCTTCCCTCCCCTCCGCTCCATCGACCAGTGTGTCTTCCCTCCCCTCCGCTCCATCGACCAGTGTGTCTTCCCTCCCCTCCGCTCCATCGACCAGTGTGTCTTCCCTCCCCTCCGCTCCATCGACCAGTGTGTCTTCCCTCCCCTCCGCCCCATCGACCAGTGTGTACTCCCCTCCCGCCCCTCACCGTTTGGATCTCTCCTCTAATTTCCTCTTACAAGCAACATTGCAATTCGATCAATGGTTCTACGGGAACCAGGTTGCAGTTATCTCACATCTCCAAAGGGAGAAAGATAAGGAGACTTCAAACAAACAGTTGTGATTGTTGCTCTATCCTTTACGTGTATCCCGTTCCCTTCCCTTACCCCCCCTTTTTTCTGTGTTCACAGTGACTGAGCAACAGAACTCAAGGAAACCGCCATTGCGGACCACCATTACCAAAATTTTGGAAAAAAACACTTGCGATATCCTCGACCATCCTTTGCGGCCACCGTTCGTAAAGTGTACAAATGGTCACTTTGTATGCGGATCATGTCGTCCACAGTTGACGAATGACGAATGTCCTTACTGTAGAGTACCATTGTCAACGGTTATAAAGGATCGTATTTTGGACGAGATTTTCTTTGCTGTTCATCCAACTTTTGGTTCAGATGCCCCAGAACCACCATTAGGCCGGGGGGCCAACAGGTCATTGAGTGCAACCGCTGGACCCTCAAGACTGCCAGGGGGCAGGGGATATCTCCTCTCCCAGTTGGGACAGGTAGCCTCTTCTCCACCACTTCCAGGACGGGGGAGACAATTAGGCCAATCTCCAAGTCAGAATCTCCAACGGACAATTGGGAGAAGTCTGATTGAAGCAGCATTCGAGGAGTCGCTGTGGAACACATTGGATATTGACGACGCCGGGAATTTATTTGCACGAGTTCCAGTGCGTAGATGAGTAGTGGTTCGGGACCCCTGCCTCCGGGGCTCGGGTTGTCTCAGCTGCGTCAGTAGGGCGGGTCATCCTACTCGTCTTGATCCCTTCGGGGTTCAAGGCGGGCCGGGATGTTCCCGCCATTAAGACTTATCAGCTGGGACGGCCTGGGCCACGGTGGAAGGGGTTACCATGGAACTGGAAGTTTTTGAGTTTTGGTCTTAACTTTCTCAGTCAGAGAAAAAAAGTTGTAGAAGAAAAAGTTTGGTTTTCTGTCGATCCTGTCTTTATCCCTGTCTTTATCGCTGTCTTTATCCCTGTCTTTATAAAGCCTTTATCCCTTCTACAAAGTGAGTTATTCTTGATATTATTCACACTTCAAAGTTTCCTGATGCGCTCATCATGATTTTTGAGACATTTTCGAGAAGAAAAAACTCCTATTTTCGCTCTTGCAACAGAATGCATGCAACAGGCCCATTTTTTTTTCATTGCATCAAAAAAGCAACCGGTTAAATTTTTGAAAAAAGGCGAAGACTCCAGCAACTCTCCGAGTATAAATCAGAATGCAATGAAATAGACATCACGGAGCACGGAGCCCCAAATCATGTGAAATTTTCACCTTAACGTAGAAAAAAAAACCCCGAACTTGATCCGTAGACCAAAAGTCCCGTTATTACGAGCTGATTACCCTTTTGATTGTTCCGTTGGTGGTTACACGAAGACGAGGAGGGATTGAAAGACTTAGCCACGGCCGCAGACCGCGACGCGGCGCCGGCAGGAGGCGGGGGGAGAGGGCATGTCACAATTGCGGATTAGGCAGGAGACCCGATTCGCCCAAGACCCAAGTTCGATCAGAGGCAGGCTTTTGTCTGGCGCTGAGCTGGAGCCGAAGCCCGAATAGAGCTCGAATTTGTTGCGAGTAGTTAAACGCTTTGGGCCTCGGAGTGAGTTATGAAACGTCTCATTATGCAAGAAGACAAAAAGACAAACTAATTGAGGGAGTGAGCTGCTCGGCTTCTTCGCTCCCTTCCCGGGGGAGCTCGTGCCGCGAAAAGGAATGTGGGTTGGAATCACAGATATTCGCTCTCTTAATTAACTCCGCTCCGGCTTTCCGAAGGGGGGGCCTTTTCCTGGTTAACTTCTCCAGAGACGTCGGCGCGACCCGCGCACAGCGGATCCGGTCAATCGGAGAGGCCGGACATGGAATTTTTGACTAAAACTGCAAAATTTCATGTTTAATTTGTCACGTTTTAAATTTTAAGGGGTGCTTCTAGAGGACAATTTTACGAAAAAATCAACAATGAAACTACTTTTAAACCTCAAAGTTTTCTATGAACGGAGTTATAGGCGTTTGAAGTTAGTCAATCGGAAAGCTCGGACATGAAATATTTGACTAAAACTGCAAAATTTCATGTTTAATTTGTCACGTTTTAAATTTTAAGGGGTGCTTCCAGAGGACAACTTTACGATAAAACCAACAATGAAACGACTTTTGAACCTCAAAGTTTTAAATGAACGGAGTTATAAGCGTTTGAAGTTAGTCCATCGGAGAGCTCGGGCATGAAATTTTTGACTAAAACAGCAAATTTTGATGTTTGATGTGTCACATTTTAAATTTAAAGGGGTGCCTCTGCAGGAAAATTTTACGAGAGGATCGATGAAACCATTTTTGAACCTTAAAGTTTTGTATAAACGGAGTTATAAGCGTTTAAAATTCCCAAATTTTGTCCAACCTTTCTTATTGACTCGATCCACTGTGCGGCGCGGTGTGGCGTGGCGGCCACCGCGCCCCGAGCTCGCCTTCCAATTAGCTACTCAATATAGCTTCGTTCATGAGTTGCTCTCATGCTCACCCCGAATTGTCACTCGGCCCCTTCCGATTTCCGGAGGATCGTGACCTATAAATATTAAAAAGAGGAGCTCAACACCTTTGCCGTGCTAAAGAAAAACGTCATATGCACATCCGAGAGTTGCCGAATTTCCTCTGATAGAATTATTATTATTTTAGAGGAAAGTTATGGCTATTTTTTCTTAAAATTTCCAGGAACTTTGGGTATAGTTGCAAAAAAAATTATGTGGAAAATGCGAAATTTGTCGAAGAAAATTTGGCAACTGACGAAGGATCTCGATAATTATCGTGGATTGTCGGTGACCGGGACGATCAGCAAAATTTATGGTAAGATATTGAAAGCTAAAATCGAAGAAGAATGGATTCATCATGAGGCAGAAGAGCAAGCGGGTTTCAGGGCTGGCAGATCAACCGTCGACCATCTATTTTGCATCACCCAGGTTATTGAGAAGAAGATGGCGGTTGGTCAAGAATTGCATCTGGTGTTCGTGGATTTGCGAAAAGCCTACGATAGCGTGCCTTTAGTGAAACTATGGGAGGCCTTGGAAAAATCTGATTTTACTCGTGGACTAATTAATGCAATTAAGCTTTTTTATCAAGGGACTTACGCAAGAATTAAATGTAAAGGGGACTTGTCGGGGGGTTTTTATGTAACAAAGGGACTAAAGCAAGGGTGTTGCCTCTCCCCCACCTTGTTTAAAATATACTTAGAACATGTACTGCGTGAATGGAAGAAAAAATGTTCCGGAATGGGTGTCCCTCTAAATAATGAAGAAACTCTTTACACGTTATGCTTTGCTGATGACCAAGTACTTATCGCCCAAGATCAAGATGTTGCTGAGTACATGACTCGAAAGTTGGTGGCTGAGTATCGGAAATGGGGCCTCGAGGTGAATGTCAGCAAAACCGAGAAGTTGACCGTTGGCGGGAATCAGCAAAGTATAGAATTAGAGGATGGGCGGCAAATTGGGAGCTGCGATATTTACAAATATTTAGGAGTGTTTTTAACCCAGGATGGAAGATTGGACCAGGCCATCAAGAGGAATATGCTGGGTAGGAGGGCAATCGCTATGTTAAATGGAGTCCTTTGGGACCAAAGGATCTCCAAAGAGAACAAAAGGAGGATTTACAACGCGATTGTCAAGAGCATAGTAACCTACGGGTGTGAAGTATGGCCGATGAAACAGCGGACCCGGGAGGTTTTAGAGGCAACAGAGATGGACTTCTGGCGTAGATCCGCTGGTATTTCCAGAAAGGATCGCGTCAGGAATGAGACGGTACGGGATACCATGGATGCCAAGCAGACCATCGTGCATGACATTATGACAAAACAACTCATCTGGTATGGTCATGTCCAGAGAATGGCAGGAGACAGGTTGCCGAAGAAGGTCCTTGACTGGGTTCCTCCTGGGAGAAGACGCAGAGGGCGCCCAATGAAAGGTTGGAGGGACGGGATTGAAGCAGAAATGTTGAGGTGCTCAATCCCCCAAGATTTGTGGTTTGAAAGAGAGCAGTGGAGGTTAGGAGTCGTAGAGCGCGAGGGAGTGCTGTAAAGCGACTTGTATGTATGTGTGTACGAAGGTTCATACGACGTTTTTCCTTAGCACAGCAGATCTGTTGTTAGGTGCAGAGGCGTAGCCAGAAATTGGTCATTGCAGGAGGAGTCACCCCACGGTCAAAAATTTCTGCGGGGAGGGAGAACGGGGGTCCATGCGTTACAAATTATTTTCTCCTAATCTTGAATAAAGACGTTTTCTGGTGAAAACTCTCCGCTCTTGGGCGGAAGAGGACCTCCGGGCTACACTCACAAACATATTTGTGATCTTATGTTATTTTTGGTTAATATAGGAAGGAATACACAAATAAACACACATTTTGTGTTGCTTTGGGGACAGTTCGCGGTGAGTTGATGGTAAAATCCATCCCCCTGATTGCGACGTCGGGATTCGCCACTCGTTTTATACATATGAAATTTCTTCGAGGAAAGTAACTGTCATTTTCCGCTGAAATAGTCAGTTTTTCAAACAAAATTTCCGTTTTTTTCTGAATTTTCCTATTACAGTACTCTCTCTCTCTGCACTGTAAAAAAAAAAAACACATTGTATCTGGAGACCAGACTCTTAAAAACATCGACAAAAAAAGAACTCTTGATTCAATCAGAATCTAGCTTAAATCAAGAACCAAGCTTCTTAATTTGAGCGGGTTTTGTTTTGATTCAAGCAAAAATCCGATTGAATCAAGAGCATTTTTTCTTGTTAATATTTTCAAGAGTCTGAACTCTGGCACCAATGTGTTTTTATTTTTCCAGTTTGTAGCCGCACTCTTCGTAACGGAAAACTCTATAACGGATGTATCTACCGGTCCTTAGACGTTCCTGTACAAAATACATGTATTTTTCCCTCTACTTAGCGGATGTGGCAATGCAGTGACCCTCTTCGCACCGGACGCTTAACGGAGGTCTAAGTGTAGTGTACCATGATAAGGAGTTACGCCGTAAAGGACGAAACATTAATTAAATGGTTGACAATTGCACGGCTCATTGTGAAATGACTTTAAAGAATATCAAATTGGTGTTCTTGCCCCCGAATAACACCAGCGTGCTACAGCCGATGGACGAAGGTATTATAAAATGCCTTAAAGATTACTATACCGTAAAAAAAATGATGATGCGTTTCATACATGCCATAGACGACGATGAAGTGCCGCAGGTCAATTTGTTTGACGCTGTTTGTTTGTTAGAAGAGGCGTGGGACAACATAAACTCTCAAAACAATAGCCAATACGTTTTGACATGCTGGTTTTTCTTCACATAAGTTACCCGCGACAAATGATGACGCAGATGACGAGTTCCATAAAGACAGTTGAAATAAAACTCAAAACAAAATATACTTAACCAGTTTCCCTGAAAACAAGTTCAAAGAAAACTATAGTTTTCCTTGAATATGATTTCAGTTGTTGGTAGATATGGGGCATCTGTAGGTCTCGCATGGAGACAGGGATCGGAGGTTTAATTTGATGAAAATGCAACGCTGAATAACATCAATTAACAGGCCCAAGACTCGGACTGGACATTTTTTTTTTCATTGAATAAAATCTGTCTCATGGAGACAAAGTTACAAAACCGATAGTTTGTGAACAATTTTGGGAACACTCGGTGCTTTTCCCTTGGAGCCGTGCACACTG